GATTTTCATCCAATAAAGATTAAGCCAAAGCATTAGAACAGCAGCAGATCAAAAGGAATTTGCAGTATGGCCCTTGCATCTTGGCAATGGCACATCAGCAGCTTCACAAGATTCTAATCTTACTGTTGATAACATAGAAGTGCCTCAGATTTCATGCATTGATGGCTGATGGTGGGTGATATTTTCAACATCTGAAGAAGAGAGAAGGAGCAGAGTAATTCTTTCTCCAAAGAACTCAGACTGCTTCCTGATCAATAAAGAAGTTTTGAGACAACTTCAAGAACATGTATGTCTAATCTGCCGTGACTCCCAAAAGCTTCAATAAATGGTTAAACAAGAACACTTCACATTGAGTAATGGTCAACTTTGTCTTGCAGGTCATAATTTATGGTAAGTACTGAAGGGGTAAAAAAATTTTTTTACATCTGATAAAATCCTACATTAAAACTTGACCTTGTGTCACATTCTATATGACATGGGTGCATAGATAAATCCCTACAGTATAACTGAGTTAGGCTAGTTACAAATATTGGTAAACATTAGCTTACCAGATATGTTAAATTTGTATTTAAGCCCCGAGAGAGATTTTCTTGCAACAAAAAAAAAAAAAAAAAAAAAAAAAAAAAAAAGGGGAGAGATCTTATATGTCACTAAATATGAAAAGCAAGAATAATAAGAACACAATTAAAAAATATCTATAATGACAAGAATGTAACAAAAATTATTTTGTAAAAATATTTATTGATTACAGAAAAAAGATCAAATTAAATATATAAGCAGCAGTTTCAAAATTATGAACAAAAGTTTTTCTTCAAAACAAAGCTTCTCTCAACAAAACAATTACTATACATGTTTTTGCTTCAAATACACTATAAGTCCATAAATTCTATACAATCTTAATACATATTACAAAGGTATAGCACTATATTCAAAACAATTATGTAAATGATCACAAGTTTTTCATTCTGTAGATTTTGCAAGCATATAAATGTATTGAGCATAAAAAATACCAAATAAACAGGATTTCTTATCTTCAACTCAGCACAAGCTTCGTTGTTGAGAATAATTAAAGAAAACAATTTTCTTGTTTATATATTTTATGTAAAGATTTTGATTCTGAAACTTTCAAACTACAGGGTGATCTGAAAGTCTTGTCACCCCCTACCTCTCTTCCAAACTGTAGCTCGTGTCAGCCATCTGAAATAGAAAATTATATTATGTAGGGAGTGACAAAACTTTCGGACCACCATGTATAGTCAAAAGGAATTCTGCCTAAGGCTCACAATCTTTATTTCCATGTGTATATTACTTTGGCATATTTTCCAATTACCTTATTTTTCTAGTGATTTTTATATTATTTTACCTAGGAGAAACTACCTTGTTTCGACTGCTTGATCACAGAGAGCTAGATTCTATCTTTTTAACCGACTTTCCATTATTTCTAGTTATCTCCCTTTTTTTTGGAATAAAATAAAATTTGAACACCTTTATTGTGCAGTATTGTGGTGTATAAAGAAAAGGGAAATCAATAGATGGATTCGTTTGGTGGAAAAAAAATACAGTATAAATGGGTCACAAGAAAGGCTAGTTAAAGTTAGGGGTGGACTGATGAATAAGTCACCCTGCTACTTTCCTTGTAATGCGTTTTTGTATACTTTATGCAAAAAAAGAAATCTTCCTTACAAAATTGCCAACTGCATTATCGCAATGTCACTTTAACCAAGTTGTCATCTGTTTGGACATTTCATACAACGTAACTTTCATCAGCAAATGATTGGCAAAGAAGCTTCTTTTTAAAAATTATTTTTCATGTTTGAAAAGAGATTTTGTTATTATTTTTTTCAACTAGCCCAGGACCCATAAAGATGCATTGGCACTTTTGCCTAAGATCAGATTATCTGTGCATTGTAGAAAAAAGAAGTTATGAATGTGTTTTTTGAATTGATCCTTTTAGACTACCATCCTTATATGTGTGAATAAAAATAGTAACATGTTCATTTCAATTAGTATTGGTGGTATCAGAAAGAAAACCTGACAATAAAAAATCTAGATATCGTTAAGAAAGGTACCAGAAAGTAAAAAATGGAGAAAAACACAGGGTTTCATTCAAATTTAATTGGGAACTGTGGAAAGCCACCATACTTGGTAAAAAAAGCCAAAGTACTATCAAAGACATTAAAGATGAGGATGTTATTCTAAAAGGATCATTAAAAAAAATAAACAGAAATGATTAAATAACATTAAAAAAGAAAAGAAAAAAAAAAAAACAACAAATTATCAATTTTACAGATGTAAAAAGATATAAAAATAAATGAAAATTCTTAATAGTCATGAAGAAATCATCAAAAAATATTCATGATTTCTCACATACAAAACCTAACATGATTGGCAGAATAAAGCAAGTCAAAGAGAAATATCAATATTTACAAAAAAGAAACAAGGTTGTCATGTTTCCCAAGAAACAATTATCAAGAAATCATCCACGTATAAAATGACAAACATCAAATGACTTTGATGTCAAATCTTTGTTATAAAATGCTTTATTTCGAAACAGAAATTTAATGGATAATTTTTTTCATAGGAACATTAAAAGAAATCAAATTTAACAAATAGCTAAATAAAATAAAAGCAGTAATTTTTCATTAAATACAAGAGCATTTAAATCACAAAGACCATAGAAAATGAATTCTGGAACAATCCAAGCACACACCTGTACAAATTAGTTTTTTTTTTTTTTTTTTACATATCACACTTTGTATCAAGCATTGTTTATCAATTGAAAGATTGTTTGAATCTTAGCAAAAAATACCCAGATTGGATTTAATTATGTGAATTAAAGTTTCATATTTATCTTTTGATTCAAGCAAATACAGGAGGTTGATAGGCAAATTGTATCAGAGAACAAATCATATAAGCTATTTTCACCAATCTAACACTGGTTTGACTGATTGTTTTATTGGATACTAGTTGAGGTACCTGGCATTGCCCAGGAACTAATTTTATCTAAATAAAAAGACAGAATATTTTATTTGTATAGATTATTAAAATGACTAAAGAAAGTAAATATGCATTAAATTACTACCAAAATGTTGATTTACTTCTCTTACAACTATATTTTTTTATAGAAGTATTTAACTACCCTGATAAATGGATCCTTTAACCTTATTTTTAACCTTTAGTGTTGACCTAAGTTAATTTTACATAACTTATGACATTCCTTGCATTATAATTTCTCTGTATGATAAGTTTGTTTGAAATCCATCTAGTAATTTCTAAGTCTACTGCGAACAAACAGACACTTCACTTTATTTGTATAGATTATTCTCTTACTTTTATTATTAATATTCCTGGGCTTATCCTCCAAAATTTTATGATATAATATGCCAAGTATTTTTTTTTTTTTTTTTATTCTTGTAGTGTCTGTAGCTTTTCTATAGTTAAGATGTCACTAAATGACAGACTAACCCAAGATGTTTATAAAACCAGGTGAAAAGAACAACTCTAGTAATAGGAAAATAATTTCATATATTCTATAATTTTTGACAGTCCAGATAAACCATAACCAACATGGCTCAAATCTCTTTTTACATTATCTTACTTTTCAGTGTAGTATCAAAATTTCCTCTCAGCACTTGTATAAATATGTTAAATAGTTGAAAAAAAAAAACAGTAAGGATGAAAATTTTTGTCTCTATTGTATACTTAGCTCTGGTCTACATTGACTGAAAATATTTTGTCTATAACTTTGAGAAGAATCTTTAACATATCCAACATTATTTGGATACTCAAGATTAATATAGACAAAGTAGTATTTAAAAAAAGGTTTATTTTTGTAATATAAAAATACAAAGTGTTCTTTTCATAAAATCTTGCATTCCTTCAGGAAAATTAATGTTTTTTTAAGCAAAAAGGAACAAAATCTATACTACAGTCAAACACCAGAAGACATTTCAATGATGTTGACAAAGATACACATATACAATTGACAGGTAAAAGTATTAAGTTGTAAGACCCAAAACTTCTAATGATTCTCAGCTAAAAACATCGCTATTATATTGTATATATTTGTGGCAAAGTTTAACCTTTGTGCTTGCCAAAAAAATAAAGAGATTTATCAAAAGGGTGGTATACAGTAATAGCAGTGTCATTGGAATAACCATTCTTTTAACACACCATTATTTTGAAGTTATAAACTATAATTCAAAGGCTTCTTGTCTGTTTAACAGACCCACCTGAAAATATTTAGTTACTAAACCAATAAAATGACTAAGGGAGTAGTAGAATTAGTCTAAGCATCAATCAAAATGCAAGAAGCTAAAAAAACTGAACAGTAAATCACAGACATTATTTCTTAAACATTCTTTATAAATAATTGTAATTAATGAATCTTAAATAATTGTAATTAGTTAATGAATCTTACTAGCTAAAGTAATTAATTTTTAATTCTATAGTTATTATTGTAATTGTAACAAAGGAAAATTATAATTATGAACAATTGGTAATTAGTTACAACTTTTAATAACTCTCATATTACATATATAGAGATTAATAAAACATTACAAAGTTATAAGTTAATAAACTGTGTATCTATTTTTTTTCGAATAAAAAAGTTATTACAAAACATATTAATATTTATTATATTTACTCTTTATTATAAAAGTATTTGATTTTTAAACTATAAAGAATTTATACAATTATTGGGACACTTTGTGTATATATTTCAAAACACACATATTAGACTCCAGATTTCCAAAGTCTAAATGTAAAGGAAAAAAAAAAAAAAACCATTATAAAAAAATATCAATTTTACAGATGTAAAAAGATATAAAAATAAATGAAAATTTTTAAGTCATAAAGGAAGGAAATCAAAATGGAGTTAAAAGAAGACAAGGTTAAAAATGAAATGTTAATAGAATTTTGAAGCTTTGGGATTGAGATCAAAGAAAGCTAGGGGGAACCAAAGGAAAAACTTTGTTCATCAAAATTGAAAACTGTTCTTGTTAAGCAAGTGGAGGGAATTCTTCTGTTAACAGTGTATGTTTACGGCAACTTGGACATGTTTTCTGTTGTAAAAACCACTTTCGAATGCACTGAAAAAAAAAAAAAAATTAATATAAATAAATTCGAAAAATAATGAACAAAACAAAAAATTGAGATGCTTGATAGCATAAATATCACCATTAAGGAATATATAAATACCCAGAAAGAAAAACAAATACACCCCCATAGTTCATCAATTTAAAGCCAGAAAGTATTAAGCTGTGTTTATTTTGTAAATAAAAATTGCAATAGACATAAGCATGAAAATACTACCGACACATGTGCTCCAGCTAAGATCAATTATATTCCTGAGTAAATCATTTTCTTTTTTTTTAACCTACACACGGCTGAAAGACTCTAGCATTTCAATAATCTGTCCTCATTTTTCTTCAAGATCTTAATGGTTTTAAATTGTATGCTATAGGAATCAATTCACTGGAAAAATATCCATAAAGATACATGCAAAGAATCAATATGTATGTACAATTTTATAAGTTTTGATAGATATGGATAGGATGAGATCTAAACAAGTACTTGATTTGTTTTAATAAGTAACTAATTTATAAACAAATGTACTCAATATTCTTGTATTATTTTTAACAAATGTTCTCATCTTGGTTGATATAGATGTTGTTATAGACACAATGTTTCAACCAAGTATCCTCTGGTTATCATCAAGTGTCCATTGGTTCACTGATACAGAATATCTGATGATTATTTTGATATTTTGTCCCTGTGATATCATTTATGGCTTGTTGGTGTGTCACTAATAGATCCAAGTATTAAATTTGTGACCACTAGATGACAGCAACACATATATAAACAACTCCTTAACAAAAAACATGCTCATCAGTCAGTCAGTTATGTGTCATGCGTGATACATGCTTAGGCAATCATATCTTTCAATAGATGACTAACGAGGCAGATTTTTTTCCTGCAGTAGGTTGCCATTTCTTTCTGTGGTAAACTAGTTGCCATCCAAGGCTATAGAACCCAGTCTTTTCTGCTATTTACCCATAGCTGGGGGGGAGAAGAAGAGGATTCATACCTTTCCCAAGGGTATGAGCATGTAAGTGAATGTAATGGATTTTGACTGGAATTCAAACTCTGCTCTCCGATTCCTCAATCTGAGCTGCTATCCATTACTCCACTGTGCTCATCAACAGGATGCATAAAATCCTAGAATGGAACACTGATAGTAGAGAAATAAAAAAATACTTCAGAGATGGAGCAAATATATCGGAGAACTCTTCCATGATGTAACAGAACAGTAATACACAGAAATACCAATAGACTGGAAATATCAAAAACTGAAGTGGAAGCTGCACTGGTTAAATTGAACAGAAACAAAGCAGTAGGACCAGACTGAATTATAATAGAGATGCTGGCAACCTTAGATGATTTTGGCATAGACGGGATTACAGAAATAATAAATATAAACAGTGGTGATATACTGGAAGACCCAAGTAGATTCATTTTCATAACACTGCATAAGAAGCAAGGTGCAAACAAATTTGAACTCCATCGGACAATCAGCCTAGTGTGTCATAACAAAAATCATCATCTGACGAATAGAAGGCACAGCAGAATTAAACTAGAAATAGGACAAGAATGTTGCTGGTTCTTTAAAGAGACAGGAACAATGAATGAGATATTTCTGTTCAAATTGATATCAGAAAGAGCAGTAGGTGTGTACCTGTGTTTTATAAATTCTGCAAGTATTTGATAAAATACATCACAAAGAACTGTTGCAACTGCTTGTTAACCATGACATATTTGAGAAGGATATTAGAATAATCCAGAACCTATGCTGGCAAAAAAAAAAACACCTTCCTACAGATAGAAAATGAGTTCAGTAAATATACAAAAATAGATAGGTGTATAAGACAAAGATGTGTCTTCTTACCAGACTTATTTAATGTATAAAGTGTGATTCTGAGAGAATTAGAAGTCCAACCAGGATTCAATATTGCCAGCCACATAAGATATGCAGATGATACAGTGTTGACAGCAGACACAGAAAGGAAACTACAAGAACTCTTACAGAAGAGAGTGAACGAAAGTGAGAAGAAAGGACTAAACATCAATTGCAATCCATTGATAGGTCAGATGCTAAAAAGGTTGGTTCACTGTCGTGCAAGACAATTTTTCTCCCCAGAATCTATCCTATATATCTATGCCTATCATTCGCCCATGCTTAGATTGTTCTGGTGCTCCTGCTATTTATCTAGAGCTCCTTGATAAAATCCAAAGAAGAATCAGCAATATTATTGGTCCTAATCTGGCAGCTCGGCTTCAGTCACTTTCCCACCAATGTAAGGTTGCCTACCTGTGACTTTTCTATAAATATTTTCATGGTAATTGTTTGGATGAGCTCTTCATTATTTTGTTTAATTTCTTGTAAATAGTTTTGTTTTCATATTGTAAATACTCACCGAGGCTAGTTTTTTAAATTGTTGT